CCCCCCCGGCACACACAAACACCCCCGGAGCACGTGTATATGCCCATGGTTTTTAAGTGATGTGTAATGCCTATTAGCCTATTTTAAGATACATTAACTAAAAAGCACGGTTTTAGGGATGCTTTAATGTGCAATAAAATAGGCTAATGCACATTAAAGTACACTGCAGACACACCCACTAGTACCCAAACTGCAGTAGAGTTGTGTTCATGTGGTATTGCACCCAGACTAATTGGCTCTGCTCTTCAGAGGGCATCTCTGCACCAGATCTTTCTTGGACTGTTCTGCTCTGTGTGTACAACTCCTCTAATCAAAAGCAGAGGAACCATTGCCAAGTCCTCTGACAGACATTCAGTTTAAGGAACAATGGGATCTAAGCCACAGTCCCAACAATTGTGCCTTCTGTCATGCCACATGTGCATGGCAGGACACATAATTTTGAGACCAGGATTTAGATCTCTGTTGTACCATACTTACTGGTGCAGGGGGAGCCTGGAATACTATCATGATCCCAGGCTCCCCATGCACCAGCAAGTTGAAATCCAGGGGCCAACAATTAGCTGATCAACAAGGATCTGAAGCTAGTAACAGTCAGGTCCCCAGCCCCAGCCATCAATCAGCTGGTTGTCAAAACCCAAGCTGGGGTTTTTACAGGTCCTGACACATGGGGCTAAGAGCACTGACTGCTAAATTGGACCCCATACGGGGTTTTAAAGGTCCCAGCACATGGGGATCCTAGGATCAGCCTGCCACAGCCTAATCCCAGAGTTTTCATGCACTGAGACATAAAAACGTGTGTGCTACCCAGTTGGATAGCACAGTTTTTACAGGTCCCAGTACACAGGGATTAAATTAAAATGCCATGTGCTGCTCAACTGGGCAACACACTGGGTTTGGAAAGTACCAGAACAGCTGTGTCCTGGACCTTGGGGCCATCCCATGCCAGATCCCAACCATCAGCTAAGTTTTGGGATCTGTCATGGGTCTGCCCTAACCAGCCACACGTTTAATTTAGGGCACAATACAAGCAAGCCACAAAGTTGTTACATGTGGAATAACTTTGTGGCTCATTTACTGTATTATCATATCTTCAACTGACTTGAACATGTGGCCAGGTTACTATTTATGGAGAGATTAACCTGTTAGTCACATCATAACCATAATGTGTTTCAGGGGCCTGAGAGGCAGGGATAATTAGCCTCATAAAAACAGCTACTCTCATAGCAATTTACTTGTGGACAAATTCACTGGTGTGTGAGAACAACTGCAAAACTAACTCTAAATCAAACCAGTGGAGCTGATTCATGGTGGAATGTACTCCATAATCACTAAAAGAGAGATGTATTCAGGCCAATATCTGCAAGTATGAATGACTAAAATAAGTCAACCTCATCCACTAAATAGGAGTGGTCTAACTGTAGGTGTTTTGCATTATTATTGATGTGTCTTTTTCAAATCTAATTTTTATTATTTTGATGCCCTCCAAGTTACATGTATAAATCTACTTGAGACAAGAGAAATGCATCCCAAGAAGTCAAGATATAAATCTAGACATGAGCAGAGCTTTGCTGAGAATAACATATAAAGAAATGAGAGAATACCATTAAAACTGAGAAGCTTTTAAAAAACGTAAAAACAAAAAAAATCCAATACCAAAAACGTAACAGAATATAAGGTTTTGTTAGATAGTCTGACTTATTAGTAGTCACAATAAGGATTTTTCTTGAGTTTCATAAGAGATTGTTACAATGTACTTACTGGAAGACTCAAGAATTCGTTAAAGTAGTCCACAAGCATATCATCTGTCGTTAAATAATCTTCCTGCAGGAACATAAAAAACACAAGGCAATGTTAACAGTAACCTATCTTAACATCTATTTGTTATTGTCCTAGACAATAAATTGTGTCAGACTATGTAATGAAAACTTTTGGGGAAAAAATAGCGTTTTATCTACATTTTTTTAATTCATTGTACATCAGTGATGTGCTCAGCACTGCACAAAATGCATATTAATATAAGTTCTCTGTCAAGGAACTTGCAGATAAAAAACTAGAAAAACTAAAGATCTATAAACGCTTAAAATATGCATATTTTTTCTGGGGAAAAAACATCTGCAAGTATTCTCCATATTATTCAACTTGGTCTACATGGTCCCCACCATCTGTACCAGGGAGAGGAGGAATGTTCCAGCTCTGTGAAGCCTGCTTCACTCCCACACCATGATCAATGGTGGGGTAGCTGACACGGAGGAATAAAAGGGAGTTGGCCAATTCACAATTTGTCCCACAATATCAAATAATAGTCTGCAAGATTTTGTGACTGCCCAGATTAGGAGTTTTTCCACTGACTTCATTGGGAGTAGGACTGAGCCCTGTGTTTGCGGTTAATATGTTTACTTTATTATTTCTAATACAAAGGGCACCAGTGAAATACAATTCAGATTTAGTTATTTTCTCATGCTTGCCAGATCACTAAGTACAGAGCCCAGTCTTGCTATATTCTGTTGGCTTTTTCAGTACTATGAACTTTATCAGAAAGAATCCCATCCAATTTATAAGAAGATCAGTTTCTTAAACATATTGTTATTTCTGCCCTTAAAAGCTGCCTGTTAACATGGGCTGAAGTAAAAAATTGACTACTTGGCATTGCTATGGTTCTTACAAGGGAAAATTCTGCCTGCTATTCCATGACAATGAAATCTGTGCAAGTGGGGAGTGGCATCTGGTGCAAGGTATACAGAATAAGAACATCCCCTGAACTAAGGCACCAGGTCACACTCAGCTCCACACTGGCTTCTTGTGCACCCTCAATCAAGGCTAGAAAGAACATGAGTGGGTGCAACCCAAAGAATTTAGGGTAATCCCAAATGGAAGAATTGGGATCAGAAATCTTAAGCCCAAGCACTTTAGAGTGAAATTAGTAGTTGACTTCACTTGTTATCAGGCCCTGAGGCTCCCAGTTCAGCAATGCATTAGTACACATGCTTGATGTGAAAACTTTTGTTAGAAACAGGCTGGTGCCACATTTCAAATGTGTGCAGTTGAATAGATTTGATGGTGGTTGGGTAAATATGACACTATTAACAGTAATATTAACACTTCACTACTCCAAGTGAACTATTTGAAACAAACTATTAATTACTAGCTAAATTAGAAACCCTATAAATATGCAGGTACATGTGTTTTTTGTTTGCCAAGTACATGTTCTCTATAGTCCCATATAACAGCAAGAAATACAAACGAACTCATTCATTAATAAAAATTTTACTACACTATTAACACTGGCTTTTGCCACTTACTGAATGTATTTGGGTGATTTTTAAATAATATGAAAACACAATACAAATTTTCCATGAAAGTTTAGCCATCAATCTTACTTGCATTTTTTTTAAAAGTTTACACATTTAATACTTACCCATTATAATTTATGAAGTTGTATTTACATAACAGTTTAGATTTTTTTGTGGCAATAGCAATTTTGAATCCTTCTCCTGGTATGCTCTCTGGTGAGCATTCCATGTTATTACTATTGAAAGGAGTCTCATGATTTCAATAGGTAGTCGGGATACATTACCAGTGGGCCTTAATATACAATATTTATGCAACCAAAACTCTCACTGAAGTAATGGGGAGGTTGGCCTGCATATAGTACAGGTATCAAGGGTCCTATTTCTGTCAGTCTTAGAGCAGTGAAGAGGATATTGAAATCATTTTGTCAGTGGTACACTGTAAAATCCCTGTTTAGATTTTGTATGGAAACATATCTGATGACACTCTATCTATTATATATAATAGCCTTTCCATGTCACTGCAGTCAGAGTGCTAGTACAGATATACAGAGATGTTATAAGATACCCAAGAAGGGTCTGAACACAGATAGAATTGGTAAGGCTTTAGGGAACAGCAGATCAAATGCAGCTTCTATTGAAAATGAAAAACACTCACAAACAAAAAAAATAAACCAAAAAAAACATGTTTCTTTCTTTTTTTAAAGAAATAATATCAGAAGGAGCAATGCTCCTACTGGGAGTAACACGCCAAAGCCCACTTTTGCACTGGAGAAATAATAATAATAATAAAAAAAACACGCACTAGTTTAGCACCACTCGTTATTTTTTCTATAGTATCACGACAATAAAAATGACTAGCTCATTAAAAATACTTACAAAAACATCTTCTGTTATATCTGGAGGTTCTGAAACATAAATACAAAATACTGAACGTTATTCATCTGATACATTTTCAGTGCACGTTTGCTGGAATCTCAATCACACAAGATTGACAAGTGTCGCGCAGAAGAGCAGCGAGCCTCTATACGCTTCCTGAGGTTTCCAAATTAACCTGATCTGAGGAAAGCGAATAAAGTCTAAAGAAACACGGGGCGGCTAATCCCAGGCAGGTAAAGATGGTGAGGTTCCCCTGCTCCGCCCCACCAAAATCATGAGACTGATTTCTGAGCGGCTGGTGTTTAGGCTACTCTTGGCTCACGTTCCCCACTTTCCCTTGCAATCCTGAGGATTAGGAATGTGCTTTTTAAATGAAATCCCAGATTGTAGCATGATCCCAGGGCTGCCGCGTATTAGGTTTTAAGAATGAACATCAACTCTTGAGGGGCCAATGATAAAATGATGAGAAGTGGAAGCGAAGCCGGCTTGCCCCAGGCCTGGCCCGCGGGAAGTGCCGCGCTTTTCGGGCCGAAGGCGGCGCCGGGCGAGTTTCCCGGGTCCCTCCCCCGGGCACAGCCCGGGGGGGGCCCGCCGGCG